ATTCTCCCAAGGAATCGACACTCTAAGGTGGTTTAGTGGATAATCATTGACTCCAACACTTTCACGGAGAAGATGCTAAGGCGTGAGAAGTGATTCCCGAAAATTCTTAGGCCCAAACTCGCAGTGAAAAGGAATGAAACACGGGGGTGACTTCACTGAATGAGAGAACTTGCGGATCTAGGATGACAAGGCGTGAGAACAAGGTCCCGAAAATCTCTGTGCCCCTAAAACTACTTGAAACAAATTCGCACAAACAATGGAATGAAGGCTGCGTCAAGTTCTATGGACTGAACTTGATAAACCAGGTTGATCAATGGATAACCTCCATAAGATCAAAAAATGAGAATCACTCTCAAAGGTTCCAAAAATAATAAATCAAGTCTTATTTCTCCAAAAACAAAAAATTATACTTATTTATAGGAATAGAAAACTTTGTAGGGAAAGCTAAATATTAAATGTTCTCGAAAATAGAAGAAGACTAAAAACTAAATGAAAGAAAATAAATAGAGTTGAAAAACTTTTGGCCTTCTTGACTCCTCATTTGTGACTTTTAACTCATTTTCGTCACTTCCTTTGACCAGAAAAATAAAGTGATGATTTTGGGCTCTTCTTGGACTTCTATCACTCTTAAAACGGGCTGGAGTCTATATATAGCATCTTTAATGGATTTCTTCATACTTATCTTGTCGAGAACTTCATAAATTAACCCATTAAGTGCCTCTTTGAACTCATTAGCATTTAGTCATTTTCATGATTATATCATAAGGATAAGTATGGGCAAAATAGTCATTTCATATTGTTAAAAAGCCAAATGTCTACCACAAAAAAATGTTTATAAGTCTACCCTCCTCACAAGGACATATAAGTAAGTCTACCCGCTGTTCCAAGTAGATGTTATCTGAGTAAGTACCAAAAATATTTATAAGTCTACCGTCATTACAAATAAGTTTATCAATATATATATATATATATATATATATATATATATCCACCAGAAATTATGAAATCTATTATACTGAAAATTAAATGTACCATATTATTTTTATGAATAAATATATCACATTAGATATAAGTCTATCATTACAAATAAATCTATCAATTTTATGAATAAATCTATCATATTAGAAATAAGTCTATCAATTTTTTTGAATAAATTTATCAAATTACAATTATGTCTATCAATTTTCAACGATTAACCTATTAAAAAATCAAACTTTTTCTGTAAGTCAACAGATTATTCATAAGTCTACCGTCAAGGACAATACCAACAAAAAAAATGTCTACTAATAAATAATATGTCTACCATGATATTAAAATATGTTTACTAAAATAAGTCTACTAAAATTGAATAAATCAACCTTATGTCCAACAAATTCTTACACTTCTTCTCTTTTCACTTTTGAAAAAGCTCATCACCATTCGAAGGCTCAAATAGACTCCATCTTTCTCGGCAGCTCTCGGTCCACTTTCCTTCACACGTTCTTTTATTTCTTTCCTCTCTCCGATCTGCCATTATTAGTCATTTCTTCACTGTTTTATGACTTAAGCGCCGGAGAGTTATTTGAAAACATCATTCGATCGTATTTTCCGAGACCTTCACGCGTTTGTTGAGTTTTGCAGAAAAAAATTCCATAAGAGGACTAAAAATCCTCTAAACACAGATTATATAAGTAAAATTTGACACAAAAACGAACTAGCCTAATTGTAGCAGAGACAATATTGCCACATCTCTCTATTATCTATTATATTAAAACAGAATTACTTTTAGTACTTGCAATTCTTGGGTTCACCCCTGGGGGTGAATTCATTCATTCACCCTTTTCATATAAGTCAATGAAAATTTGCCATGTAATATTATCTTTAAAAAAAATAAAAAAAATAAAATTAAAAGATTAAATACTCAATCAAATATTTTGGTAAAATATATATATATATACATATATATAATAATATATATAAAGATTAGAATTTAGGGTTTAGTTTTTTTTTTAAGGTTTATAGATTATGATTGAGAGTATAAAAATTAGAATTTTAGGATTCAAAAATTAGAATTTAGAGATTAGGGTTTAAAATTTCGAAAATAAAACAAATAAGTATATAAATAAATATATATATATATATATTTTAATATAAATAAAGTTTAATATTAGACTTGGGTTCACTATTTCTAATTTAGGTTTTAGTTTTTCTATATTTAAAATTCCAAAAATAAAACAAATAATTATATAAAAATATTTTTTATTAAAACTAATTCTAGATAAACTTCAATATTATGCTTGGGTTCACTGTTTTCAAATTAAAATTTTTTTTTTTTGTATTTAAAAAATAATTTAATATTATCTTTGGGTTCACTATTTCCTAATTTAGGGTTTAGTTTTTTTCTTTTAAATATCAAAAATAAAACAAATAATTATGAATAAATATATTTTATTAAAAATAATTCTACATAAATTTTAATATTATGTTTGGGTTCACTATTTTCAAATTAGGCTTTAATTTTTCTATTTAAAATATGCTATTTTTGGTAAGTTACTTTAATTGATTTTATTATATGGCATATTCTCATTGGCTAAAATGAGAGGGGGTGAATTCATTCACCCCTAGGGGTGATCCCAAGAATTGTCCAGTACTTGCAATTCTTGAGTTCACGCCTATGTGTGAATTCATTCATTCACCTCCTTTCATTTAAGTCAATGAAATTTGTCATGTAATATTATCTTTAAAGAAAAATAAAAAAATTAAAATTAAAAGATTAAATACTCAATCAAATATTTTGGTAAAATATATATATACATATATATAGTAATATATATAAAGATTAGAATTTAGAGTTTAGTTTTTTTTTTAAGGTTTATATATTATGATTTAGAGTATAAAAACTAGAATTTAGGATTTAAAAATTAGAATTTAGAGATTAGGGTTTAAAATTTTGAAAATAAAACAAATAATTATATATATATATATATTAATATAAATAAAGTTTAATATTATACTTGGGTTCACTATTTCCAATTTAGGTTTTAGTTTTCTATATTTAAAATTCCAAAAATAAAACAAATAATTATGTAAAAATATTTTTTATTAAAATTAATTCTACATAAACTTCAATATTATGCTTGGGTTCACTATTTTCAAATTATGATTTAGTTTTTTCTATTAAAAATAATTTAATATTATATTTGGGTTCACTATTTCCTAATTTAGGGTTTAGTTTTTTTTCTTTTAAATATCAAAAATAAAACAAATAATTATGTATAAATATATTTTTATGAAAAATAATTCTACATAAATTTTAATATTATGTTTGGGTTCACTATTTTCAAATTAGACTTTAGTTTTTCTTATTTAAAAAGAAATATTTAAAATATGCTATTTTGGTAAGTTACTTTAATTGATTTTATTATATGATATATTCTCATTGGCTAAAATTAGAGAGGGTGAATGACCCCTAGGGGTGAACCCAAGAATTGTCCACTCTTAAAGTTTTTTTTTTAGTATTTAGACAAAGTTTTAAAATTATCCTAATTTATTACAATATAATTTAAAAACTTTTTTATTTTATATATACATTTAATTCCGAAATTTAAATATTAATTTAGATAACTAAAGATTTTCTTAAATCTATGTTATATATAATTTAAAATTCAAACTATTTTGTAATTAAATTTAATTCTGAAAAATATATATTAATTTAAATTACTTTAAAATTCTTGAAATATAGATTTAATTTAATTTAATTTAATTTTTTGAAATTTAAATATTATTTTCACAATAACACATATGATTAACGAATACGTTATTATATTTTTTAATTATAATCAATCAGACTAAAATTTCACATATTGAAAACTGATAAATATTAATATTATATGGTAATTTGATGAGGCGGGTTAACTTTTTTACTAATTGTGATCTTATGTGGATTAGGTTATCAAAACATGCAAGATATTAAGATAAAAATTATTTCAAAATTAATAAATATTTATATCATATAATTATATAAATAGACATGTTAGAATTATTTTTTATAACTATATTTTTTTGGATTAATAGAATAAGTGAGTTAGAAATATGTTTCTATAATAATGGTCATTTTTCGATTAATAGAATGACTGGATTAGAATTATGGTTTTATGACCGAGGTCATAATAATAATAGAAAAAAATTAAAAAACAAAATATATCTAAACACAAAAATACACTTTGCTACTTATTAAAAAAATTATATCTATAAACAACATATAAATTATATTACGAATTTTGGTTATAAAAATATTTCTGTGCAGATGCATGGAGTAAAATCATAATTTGTTATTAAAAAAAAAAGACATAGGATGTGTTGCCCCACGAATAAATATTTTCCGGGTTTAAAAATGAAATAATAATAACGTAACCCTAGTCATACTCATATGATAGGTCTTTATTCCTTAAGTTTAATCGGATATATGCTAACGGTCACGAGTCTATACATTATCCTTATCTAAATGACACAACCTGCGCTCCACAGACAATGCGAAACAGTTGAATCGCGCATAGCATGAAATATGAACCGTCCAATTAATCAAACAAAATTAACAAAAGTCAACCACTAAAAGTCTTCTAATCCTACGGTTAATTCCTTAATTATGATTTCACGTAATTATAAAAGTCTTAAATCTCGAGGTTTATTCCAACTGAGTCCCCCGATAATTGCTGTAACGAGTTGTCAAACGAAGAAAACCTCAAAAAGTTTTATTTAAAAATAATTCTTCTTTGCAACAAGAATTTGTTTATTTAAAAAACGAATTAATTTAGTAACTAGGACTTATCGTTTCTTCTCTCTACCATCAAAGATTCTCTGAGATCTTATATCTGTTTTATAGTTACTGTAAGTCTGCAAAAAATTAAAAACAAATTTTTGCACGATCTCCCATTTGTTGTTCATCTTTCTCTATATCATTTTCTTTTTCCTCTTTTTTAATTGTTTTTATTTTTTATTTTTCATATTGCTCTTCTCTTTCGTTTGTGGTTCTCACGCTCGTAGGTTATAATTAATTTAGTACAACAACGAAATGTGAGTTGCTGTTTTTTCTTTCAATCGAGACTTGAGTTTTTTTTTCTCAAATGATATTCTCTCCATGATTTTTCTCAATGCATTCTTATTTACAATTTTTTTTCTCTGTCCACGACATTTTCCAGAATAAGTGATAGTTTTGAATTCTCGTGCATGCTTCACGATCCAGAGCAGACTTCGAAAATAAGCATCGGCTGAAGAAAAATCTTTCACTAAGGTAATATTTTTCTCAAAATCGTTTTAAATTTCCAGACTAATCTTCCACTTTATTCTAACAGCAACCATAATTGATTCCAAGTGAAAAACGCCTTACTCGTCTTCACGACAAATCTAATTGAGTAATTGATTATGTTCGATTTTTCAAAAAATTATTTTGTTTTCACATGAAAATAGCACATTAACTATGTTTGGATTGTGCTAAACATATTTATCATACTGGCGTTTGAATTGAAGAGAAGAATAGATGTTAAAATGTTAATTATGAAGAAAGAACATATAAAAGGTTAAAAAAAAAAGACTGAGGGTCAGATGTTGTTTTTTTCTTGATGTTAAAGAGGATAAAATGTTGTTATGATTGTATAATATTGAGTCAGATCTATCTTATCCAGAACATTGCATCTATTCTATGTTTGACTTACAATGTAAATCCCATTTTTGCTTTAACAAAAAAAAATGTAAATCCCATTTTTGTACAAATATTAACATGTGCGACCGAGAGTGAGTCACACTCTTCAACTCTTTTGGTCTCAACTTGTCTTTATGTAACTTTTGATTCATCCATATATAAGTGTTTTGACTTTAAACTTGTGGAATAATAATGAAAATTTTGAATGATTTACTTTGCAGAGTGATATTTTGAGGCAAGAGGTTATCTAGAGATGGATTTCACAGAATCGATGAACGTTGTGCACAACAGAATCCAACAACTTGAACCTGAAAATGCGTCAAAAATCATCGGTTATCTCTTGTTGATGCAAAACCACGTCGACCACGACATGATCCGTCTCGCCTTCTGTCCAGATTCAGTGATGCATTCCATGATCAACTTCGTTAAATACGAGTTAGCTAAAGATCCTCGTTACCATAGCCCTCCATCTTCTGATCACATGCCTAGTCGTAGTTTCGGATCATTCACTAGTTCATCAAGCCAGCCACTCTCTGTTTCCGTTTCTCCTCCTTTGAGAACGTCCGGTTTCTGGGAGAATTCAACGACCGAGATTGATTCGTTGCAAAACAATGTTCAGTTCTTGAATCTTGAAGATTCTATGACAAGCCCTGATTTCTCTAATGGCTTCTTTTCTCGTGAGCATCATCAAGGTATGCCTTTAAGAACGAGCAGGAGATCCCCGAGTTTACCCGAGTTTCCGGTAAAAGTCTGCCATTACTTCAGCAAAGGATTCTGCAAACATGGTAACAACTGTCGGTACTTCCACGGGCAGATCATACCGGAGAGAGAGGTGTTTAATCCAAACACCAACAACCTAAGTGACGAAGAACATGTTGTTTCTCCCGGATCACTGGAGAAGCTAGAAGGGGAGATCATAGAGCTGCTCAAATCCAGAAGAGGTGCTCCAATTTCCATAGCTTCATTGCCAATGATGTACTACGAGAAATACGGTAGGACCCTTCAAGCTGAAGGATATCTCACAGAGTCACAAAGACATGGTAAAGCTGGCTATAGCCTAACTAAGCTTCTTGCTCGCTTGAAGAACACTATCTGCCTCGTCGACAGGTTAGTTAGTTAAAAACAAACCAACCAAGTTCTTGGGGCCCTGATTCCCGCTTGGTCGAGAGACAAATGTTTCCCGACCAAGGGAATGTATGGGCTTCGGCCCAAAACTCCTAGATTAACTTTAAAGAAAAAATTTACAAATAATTTATCATTCCATTTCATTATTTCAGTTTGAATGAAGTATTATTTTAGACTTTAATGCTATTTTTTACTTATTAAATGGTCTTTGAATTTTTCAGGCCTCATGGACAGCATTCGGTTATATTAACAGAAGATGTATCAAAGTTTGTGGAATGCATGGGAGAGAGAAATGAACATGGAGCGATCCTAGCTGGTTCTAGACAGATTTACTTGACATTTCCAGCAGAGAGTAGTTTCACTGAACATGATGTCTCAAACTACTTCTCCAAATTCGGACATGTGGAAGATGTGAGGATTCCTTGTCAGCAGAAGAGAATGTTTGGATTTGTAACTTTTGTTTACACAGAAACCGTCAAACTCATTTTAGCTAAAGGTAATCCTCATTTCATATGTGGTGCTCGTGTTCTTGTCAAGCCTTACCGGGAAAAGTCACGCTCTAGTCGATACCTTGACAATAACAAGCCTTTACACGGCATGCGATATGGCTCTCAATACATTGACAGAGACATGGAGATGCACACATGTTAGTAATTACCAAAAAAAAATTAATATTTGTTTACTAATCTTGGTTTTACGTTTTCATTTAACTGTTTTTCTTGTGTTTTAAGTGCCACCGCGGGTTAGCGAGAGCTCAAGACTTATTAGGAACCAATTTCTTGAGGAAGATGACCAATTGGTTTCGAAGTCCTTACCTACTAATTACTCCTATCTTGGCTTTTCCGATGACTTTAAGCTAACCGCAGATGGTAATTATGCCTTAAACTTATACCAAGAAAATTCGGAATCAATCGTAAATGACTTTCTTAATTTGTAGCGGAGCAAGAGGAACAAGCTGGAAGGTTAAGCTATCTGCTGGACTATATGAACCCCGAAGATAATGTCCTGAACTTAACCACTGACTATAATGACAATGACCGGTACGCGATGACTTTGGTCACAACAAACACATTTTTATACTTCATTTTGATTTGATAATAAAGTTTTAATTCTTATAATTCAGGAGAATCTATTGTGAACCTTTGGACAGTCAAGTCTTGAATCTACCCGAGAGCCCGTTTTCTTCCCTTTCGGGGAAGGAGATTTCGACAGTTACATAGAGAGACAGAGAGATTAATACCTAACCAAAAGGGAGAAGAAGATAGGAGCATAAAGGTTAGAGGAAATTCCCAAAGATCTAATAATCATCGTCAGCAAAAAGAGATTTGTCTATTTTCATTATCTTCTTTCGGCTTTAGGCTGATCGATGGCATGGAAACTTTAGGTTCTTTAGTAATAACACCAAAGAGAAAGAACAAAGAGAAAAATGATAGAGAAACACAACAAGAAGTTGTTTGCTTCATTAACAATATGAGCCGGACAGTTTGAGAAACATCAAGTACAGGGTTTATATTAACAATAATTGAAACGTTTCTGAGGAATTTCTTTAATTTAGTTTTTTATTATTTCTCCTCTGTTGTTTTATCCTGCTATATCATCTCACTGTACCGTATTGGCAAATCCTTCTTCTTTAATGTACAGTTCTACATGTTTTGAAATTGTCGTTCATATGCTTATATATATTTATAATTTGAAACAAAGATATATTGTGCGATGAATTAGAAAAATTAAATAGACATAAGAACATAGAGAAACATATAAAGGATGAAAAAATGAAGACATTCAAGACTATAACTCTATAATACAATACAAAATTACAAACTACATTTGATCATATATTCAAAACTCAATAATTTTAAATATAAAATAATCAAAATATGTTCCCACTCAATGATTAAATGGACACTAGAGAGCAGAAGTGGATAAGAACATATAAACTTGACAAACCATATTTTAATTTTTTACTTTTGTATATTAAATCATTTGAAATGAATTCCAATAAAGTTTCATGATTAAATTAATAAAAACTAAATCCAAAAGCATATTGCAGAGATTTTAGCCACACACATAAATTTGTAAAAATAATATCAACTTTTAAAGTTTTAAGATTATAGAATCTAGGGAACTATGTTTAAATTTATGATTATATAACATTATCTTAATATCAAAAAATGCTGTTATCACATACGAGACTAATACAAATGTTTATTTTTGTGAAAATAAAAGCAAGAAAACATGTTCTTAATTCATCGTTTTCAAATTTTACTATTATAAATGACGATCTGTTGTACATGGCAATATGGCATATATAATTAGTTAATCCATACATGCTACATGTATATCACTCCGATCCACACCACATGAGATAAATTTAATCAAATCTGAAATATTGTAGAGCCTCGAGAAAATTAAATTGCGAAAAAAATATGGTTAGTCAGGTTTATATGTTCTTATCCACTACTTTATTTTCTAATCATTTTGGTTTAGAATTCTTAACTTTGACCATGTGATAATTCAATTCGAGATATAAAGGATCAATTCCTCGTTTTAAAGGTTAAACAGTTTTTTGACCAAAAAAAAAAAAGAAGGTTAAACAGTTTCTACACTTTTTTTTGGTAAAAATGTTAAGATTTTATTACCATTTTCGAGTTTTTGACAGAATTACAGAGAATACAAATTAACCGAAAAAAACTACTGACAATAAAATCACAACCAAGATATAACAGACACGAAGGCTAAGAAAACGGCTAACGAAAATAAAAAAATGAAAACCGAAACAAAACCAAACGTGAAAGCAGCAATCACACGCCGAAACGCAGACCATCCTATTTTTGCCATAGTTCAAAAGAGCTAGAATTCTCATCTTTGTTACCACGAGCATCACATCCGTGAGGCCAGCCCTCAAACTTCCAGGAAAAACACCTACAGCTTCTCCGAGAATTAACAGGATTTTCGAAATCCGTAACGGACTAACATGCATCTGTCGACAAAGGAACCCGAGCGGGCAATCGAAGAGTCACTTCCAACCGCCATTCTCAAAAAGAACGAATCTCCTCAAGAACCAGCCCCCACAGCTACACGCTAGCCGGCACAACAAATCGGCGCCTAAAAAAGTCGAGGCGTTTCTACACTTTTTGAATGCCATTAACAAACCAAAAATGATTTCCAATCAAATTTCTGTAATGGTTAATTTAAAAGTTATTTCATAGTTAAATATGACCGATACTGTGTATATATATAATAGAGATATTATGTCAAAACGATCGTTTACCTTTTATATAAATTATTACAAACATTTTTTCGAGAAAAAGATGGTCTTGTGAAAATATCACCATATGTAAACATTTTAAATTTTAAATAGGGCCTGATACAGTTCTAGTGAACCATATATAATAAATTCATCAAAACATTTGTTGTCAAAGTCACTTTTGAGAACTTTTTTTTTGTTAAAGAAACTTTGAGAACATGCACACCAGTTGAACTCAATCCTATAGACTGGATTTAAAAAAATGTTAATTTAGAATAGATTGAAAAACAAAAGACAACGCATCTTCCTTTTTATAATTTTCAGTTTATTAAAAGAAAAGATGACAATGTAACATGCATACCTCAATTTCTAATCTAATTGGACTAAGAGTGGGTGGTACTAATAATAATGAGTAAACTTTTCAGAATAATTTCATAGTTGTTCGGTTCGATTTTGGATTACTCTTCTTGATAAACCTGGTCGGACCACTATGAGGATTATAACGATTTCTAGAGAGCAAACCAAAACATGCGCTACAAATGAAGTCGATTAGAAATCACTTGATGTATTTGTGAGATCATTTTAGTTATCATGTTAGAACTGAAACCATGTGATTTATCAGGAAAACTAGTAAACAAAAAGAGAATACATCTATATTGGTGATTCAGAATCATTAAAAAAAAAACTAACCTTGAGTTATTCAAAATATTTTAGACCAATATAAAGAAAGGATAAATGGACAGATTAGTCCATTTTGACACATATATATTTTTTTAAGTAACTACATCCATATGAAAAATGGTTATAAATTCATTTATGAAAATTTAAAAAAAAAACACACATAGATTACTCAACATATGAGGAAAAATAAGCATATGAAGTCTCATATCAGTTATGAAAATGAGTGATGGCCAAGCAACATACTGTAAAATGACCAAAATGACGAGAAACTGTAAGTCTGTAAGAATAGAAAGTCTGACATAATTGGAATCCAATTTTGAAACTTTTATTAAACCGCATAATTAAACTATTATTAGAAATATTTTAAATTAAAATATTATGAGTTAGTGAGTTAGTAAATATATGTATTTGGTCTTTTGATGGAACATGTTAGAGTTAATAGTTTTACGATTGGTTCGTTTCCAGTTTCGTCCGCCAAAATATGCAAAATATCTTTATCCAATGTAAAGGCTTGTTAACTATTTTTACATTCATAAATTAGTCATATTTTCGTTTATGTAACTATATAATCTATATAGTTGCACCCAAAAAAAATTATATAATTTACATGATACCCATATTAGACTAACTCAGTACTTTTATTGTAACATCCCTATCCCAGGTTCCTAAGAGAGCGGAGAACCGGATATGTTAGGTCGGCCATCGAACCGCATCCGGTAGGATGTCCGATCTGGTGAGCACACATGATCGCCAGGAAAACGCTCAGGTAACAATCAACAACACAGACTTAGGCTGATCTCTCTACTAAACCTGAATGACAAGGGGAGAGGAGGGGTGAGTAATTGGGATTACTCAATGACTTAGGCTGATCCCATCCAATGGCTGGCCTATTACCATACCCATTAGTCAGGATCACTCTGTCAGTCACACAGACTGATCCACAGCAATCACCGAGACAGGCTATGACACTAACGGTCACTCAGACGGCTGCTCATAGCGGTCTCACCAGAAAGCTGTACCCAGCGGTCCCTTTGGACGGCTCAATAAACAGTGGATCGCTAATCCACTCCAGCGATGGCTCTAGCCGTGCCTCACACGACAGCGATAGCCAACAAACAACACTGACTCCCGCCTCCGGGAGCCAGGGGTCCTATCAGAGATCTATATGCACAATCATCCATTTCAAAGAATCATCCATTTCTTAAAGGTCTTTCCATTATTAAGATGCACGTTCGGTGATACCAATTGTAACAAAAAGGAACAATAATCAGGTTAACATCACACAATCAATATTTTAAAGTCCAATAAGTTTTAGATCCAAGTTCAGGTTAATTATCTCATTCCACCAGCAACCAGCAATCATCAACAAACAGGCAACATAGATCCAGGTCCTAAACAATTCTAACAACCCTAACAAGCAGATCTAAGCCTGATCTAAGAAAATGTCACTTAAAAGACAACCATGCATATGTAAGAGAGGATGAAGCCACAGAACCCTCACCTTGGCTTAGAAGGCTGAGAAACTGGAGGAGGAGGCAGAGGAGAAGGAGATCTAAGAGGAGATCCATCAGAATCAGCTCCCATCTCACCCAAAGGAGAAGGAGGCGGCGCAGACATCACAGCGAGGCAAGGAAGCTTCAACGGCGAGAGAGGCTTGGAGGATGGCGGCGGCCGCGGCAAGGAGAGAGAGAGACGCGGCCAAGAGAGAGAAAGAAGAAGAAGAAAACGCAGAGAGAGAGAAAGGAAGCAGCTCGGCGCAGAGAGGAGAGAAAGAGAGAGGAAAAAGGTGGCTAGGGTTGATTAGGAGCTTAATGAGGGTTTTAGGGATTTAATTAGGTATTTATATAGAGGTTAAATAGATGGGCTGGGCTTAATGGGCTCTTAGAAAGAAATTAGGAAAGACCCAACTAAAAAGGAAATAAAAAAAAAAGGGAATAGAGATGGTTTAATTTAATAAAACCGGAATTAAGAACTGGTAACATCCGATATTTGGTTAACCAAAAATCGGAATGTTACACTTATTCTACCAAAACATATACTATATCAGTATTATAATATTCGGGTACACATTATGGTGTTTTATAATCGATTTTTTTGTTTTTAATTAAAAATTCATATCACATAACTTTATATCGATTGTTTGATTAAAATAAAATATCACATAATTATTGCAAAAATCGTGATCTTGCGAACGCTATGAATCCAGACTTAGTAAATTGTATTTTGAACATGATCGAGAATGGTCCACGGTTTATTGTTAAGGTTACTAATTAGGAGCAGTTAGCAAGTAAGAAGCTACAAATTTGGAAGGGAATGAGAAGCCTTCTTAACTAGTAACTTACAAACGTTAAGGTATTATTGAAAAAAGTAATCAATCATGAGAGGTTCTCACTTCACATGACATTCTAGATAAATTCTTGAAAATATAACTTTGAACGTTCTATAATTTCAGTAGATTTCATATAACTAAATAAAAACAAGTAAGAAATGGAAATATAAATTGCTACATTTATAACTCTACTGTAAAAATTCTGTCATCACTAAGGTCAACAAAGAAACGAATACAGAATCGTAGAATAGAAGAAAACAGAGCAAACAAAAGTCAAACTATGCTTTGCTTACTCGTTGAACATTGCCTAATACAACAGCTTCAGTGATCAAACAGAACAATTTGCGTGTTAACAACAGTCCTTCATAAAACTCCAGTCTTTTTGTCGATTCTTAGCTGATACAACTCTTACACTTGGACTCAACTAAAGCCCTCTTTCTTGATATCAATCGGTTCCTGCTCAGATGTGAAGCAGCTCCTCAGGGATTGCAGCCGGATCTAAGTCCCAACAGTTTCCAGGAAAACCGCTAGTTGCATCTTTAAGAAACCAAGATGGAACTTGATGCGAAAACCCCAACATCTCGCTCCTTGGTATCCACTTCTTATCATCATCCCTTGTGCTCCTGTGATACACTGTTTTGTAGCCCTCTAGTTTAACAAGAGGCACAATGCACACACCACACTGTTCGGTATACTCATCAAGGATCTCGACCATTTCATATTGGTGCCTCACTTCGTCCGGGGTAGATTCGTTCCAGTTTAATGACCAGTTCTTGTAGACAGCCCAAATCTCTCCAGTTTTGGGGAAGATTCGAACACAACCACCTCTCCCTGTCTTCTTGCCTCTCAAAAGATGCGAAAAGATGTTTACTTGTTCAACTATGTCAGAGTTTCGTATCCTGAAATGTCCACACGACTTTGTAAAACCGTATTGTACCCATTTCATCGAACCGAACTCGATGTCGGTCTTGGAGCTTAAGTAGGCTATGTCAATCTTAAAGGGCTGAACAGAGAGTACTTCCCTAACCACACAATACAAGCGTGGCATACCATCATCTTCGTCGTATATTGCCCATATTTGCCTTGGCTCAAAGCACTCCTCCGATCTGTTTTTATCGAAATCATGGAAATCGGAGTCTGGAACTGTTATTGGACCACTGGTTTTGCGTCCCGTAGCATCTCCCAACTTACAGGAGACAACAGTTTTCTCATCAAGTGGTGTTGCGTCCTCTGCTGCCGCCGCCTCTGAAGCCAATCTCAAGATCTCCAGTCTTTGCTTAATGTCTCCTCTGGCCTTTTGAATTAATGGCTTCCGTGTATCCAACACTGACGCAGCAGACCACCGCCTTTGGCCATGAAGTTTGTAATCCTGTTCCATGTTTGCATCCGCATTCGTTATCTTTGATACCGAAGCAGATCTCAGAGGGTTCTCAAGAAATCCATTAACAGACGATTCCAAGGAAACCCTGCTCTTCTTCCCAGGTCTGCTGACCTTACTTGCATTTGCAGGAGCAGACACGCTCGGTGGATTAGGATATCTAAGACGACCTGGTGCGCTTTTCATCGAGCATGTCCCATTAGAACCATCTTTGACTTTACTTATTATCGGGCTGACTACCGAGTTGCTGTGCTTATAAGGATAGCCATTGGACACTGAGGAAACACGCTTCAAATCTAGATTCCCCGGGGAGGTTGTTCCAGGGTATGAGGAGCTCCATTCATAAGAACCATTCGTAGCGTATTCATATCCATGACCTTGGCCAGGATAGTGGCCTAAGAAATACGTGGAATTGGTTGGCGTACGTGCAACAGCATCATAACCATGCGCGCTATAGCCATTACTCGGAGGAGCATGAGATGGAGGCGCGTAATGAAACGGTGCACTAACAGGAGCTGGACCAGTTTCTACAGCTATAAATGCTCCGCGGCAGTTTTTACATGAAAGCCTCTTATTCACGTACTTCCTTAGATACTCGTACTGAACTTTGCATGAGGTGCATACAGTCCAGAAAGTGTCAAGTCTCTCTGAAGATTGCGGAAACCGATCAAACCCTCCAGTCCCGGTCACAGTCGCAGACATGTACTCAGGGGTATGCTTCTGAACCACTGTGGAGTCGATATGCTTCTTTCTTTTGTAATAGAACGTACTTTTATTAAACTCATTGGACAAGAAATTCCAGGCTTCGGAAATGAGATGGAACGCACCATCAGCTCCGATGGATTTGTTCCTGTCGGGATGGAGCAAAACAGCCATCTTCTTGTACTGTTTCTTCACTTCTCTTTTCCCGGCAGAAGGTTTTAGTCCGAGAACTGCGTAGTAATCAATTTGACCACCGCTTCTACTCTGAGAAGCTAAGTAGACTTCAAACGTTGCAACCATCTGAGATAAACATTCCAAATCAGGAGACAAGGACCTAGCTTTCAAGGCGTAGCTCCTCGCCGCCGTGAAGTCTTTTTCAGCAAACCTTCTCTCGGCGATCTGTTTCACTCTGAGAGCTTCCTCTCTGTATGCTTCCATGTAGATAGAGAACCAAGCCAATATATATAAAAAGCAGCTCTGCAAAATAGGAAACTAAGACCGTTCTCGCAAGCTAAAATCCATTCCCAAGCACCAAAAGATCATCATTATCTGCAAACATTCACGAGAATAATAACATTATTCTTTTAAGGCACTGCAATTATAAACCAATAAATGACCAACCCTGACCAAAGAGCTCACACGTACAACATGTTCAGACAAGAAGCCATAAACAAAACCGTACTTAACTAACGTACTAGAATCATCCTCGGATTCGAGATCCAGAATCTCAGGTTCCGATTTTGAAAAATTGCAACTTTACAACTTTCTAACATGAGAGAATCACACAATTACTCAAATAGATTTGGAGAACTAAAGTATGTGGAAGTCAAGAGCTGCTTAATGCTCTCTCCATTTTAGACACATTTCAACAATCCAAAGAGTCAGATTTAAGCTATTAACATCACGATAAACCCTTCTCAAAAGGATTAATCTTTTTTTAAAGCTCTACTCGAGATTTGCTCATTTCTCAATTTAGAAACCCACAAAACAAACACAAAACCTAGATTTCAGGAAGGAAACACAAAGAGCAATAGAGCTAGCGATCTTACTGAGATTTTTGGGGGAAAATAGAAACAAGGCTTAAAATAGATCGCCGCAAGCTCTTCTTCCAGAGTTCGAGCAGATCAAGAACCAAATCGAGGTAGCAAAAAGCACGAATCCCGAAGTGGATTTTCGTATCGAGAAGGTGTATTACTACAGTAAACTTTTAGGGTTTATGGTTTCAGTGAAAGTTATTGAGTAATCGGCGATTCACATCATCCCGGAATGAATCGCCGGGAAAAAACTCTGAGATTTGCCGTCGATCGGCGATCGAGAATTTCGGAAAAATAAAAACGATAAATAAAAATTGAGGATTTTTTTTTTTTTTTTTTTTTGTGGTTAAGTAAATATTCCAGTGAAAGTAAACGGTGCTAATTTGTTAATAGTGCCATACGGGTGATTCATGCTATCGTGCACCGTGATGAGGAGTGCGCATATTTTTCTCTTTATAGAATTATTTTAAAAAAAAAATGTTAATGTGATAATTTTAAAATAGATAATGCAAGTTGCATTTTACCTTTTTGTCATCTTTTATATTAAAAAGTTTTAAAACAACCATATAACCAGATATTTCCTTGAATATAGAATTATCTTAATTTTGGGGTCTAAAACGTCATTTAAAGATGTAAATCATATGAAAAACTTAACTTTGGTAATGAAAAGTAGCATATATGTGAAGTTTTAATCTAATGTAACGAGTTTATAGCGACGGAAAAAATAATGATGTGTACTATTATCATTCGTCTATTTTGTTTACGTGTCATTTTCACTTAAATTAAACCAAAAATTTTCATTTAAATCAAACACAGAATTTTCACTTAAATCAAACCAAAAATTTTCACTTAAATCAATCTGAGAATCCGAATAGACCGAGATTTTTTAAAATGACTTCGAATGGTTTACTTAACCAACCAAATTCTGATTTTGTTTTCTTATCGATTAAGCACTAAATTTTAGCATAAACTTCCTTGTAAACAATATTCATTGTTTTCTTTTGCTGTATTGGGTAAATACAACCCAACTCTCTCAAGCGTTTGACCTTGAATCTTGTTAATAAGTCATATTAAAAGCAAGTGTTATAGGAAACTTTCTATGACGCAAACGGAAGGGAAAGCATGCATCTACCCGTGTTACAAACATCCTTGGTATTAACATACAATCATGAACGTTATTGTCGTAGGTTCCTCTAATCACCCTAGCCTTGATAACATGATTTGCTAACTTAGTCACTATCAATCATGTACCATTGCACAATCCACTCTTAGGGTCAATGTTTTGTAGTAATATTATTGGAGCTCCAACTTCAAAAATAATTTGTGATTAGGCATATCTAAAATCTTAATGCTATTCAAAAACCCTTACATATATACAATGTCTGAAGGGGAAGAGCTGCACTTGCTCAACATTCGGAGAGACCAAAAAAAAAACGTTGATGATTCCCACCAAGAATTTGACCGCTGGGTCGTGCTAAATCCATACGAATTAGTACTGAGAAGCATGTGCCCGTCACCTAAAAAAGCGAAGGCCGAGCTATAGGTCATGTTACTTGCACCGAGTTGGTGGCTGACCCGCCTTGCACAGAAAGTGTCAAGTGTTGCTTGCCAGCCGGGCCTAGGGTGGGTTCTATCTTTTTGCCAGACATGCTGGTTCGAGTCCAACTCGTGATCCGAGGAGCCCTTACTGAACTTTGCCCTTATCCCCTATCGTATCATGGTGTCCCTACCAGGCCGCCTCTCTCTTTGATTTCAGCATCATTTGTGTCTGAAGGTTCAATAGTATCTGCATTTAGATATCTTTTTTCTTCACCTGAATATTAAACAATTTCAAACATTACTTACATATAACAGAATATTAATTTTAGTACTGTTTTTAATAATCATTCTCTATTTAGTTTGAAATGCGAATGCATAAATGTTTAAGGTGAAGATTGCTCGTGACTAAGTCCATATTATTGTTAAAATATGTCTCCATATTTTAAATTTATTGGCTGAATGAATAATATTAAAGTTGTCTTAAAGGTTTGAAAAAATACATGGTAACTTTGATAGCGTATATTGGTTTATGATCTTCACATCCACATTCCTAGGACTCAATATAGCTCTATCTCCGAAAAACTGTGCATCTGTATTGGTGGCAAACTGATTCACCGTAAATCTCCTGAACAATTGATTGTACAAGATCGTCGCAATCAAGAATTAGCAAATCTTCTTGTATCTCAATTTCGACTTCTCCAGTATTAGGCTTGCTTATTTTCTCGTCACCAATATCCAATATCCACTTTGAGAATGCTCTAATATCTTCAGCATCGTCTTCAGTATGACCTGTGTGCAATCTCATATTTCATGTAAGTTGTAAAACTTTACACTTGCGCCAAAGAGCTGATGAAAAGCGGCCAATGTAAGTGGCACATATGTGATTCTACCTATAGTTTTTCGTCGTTTTCGTGGCTCCCAAGTTCTTGTCTTGACATGCCAAGCAAACTTAGTTGGAAAATCTGCATAAGTGAGCTCATTAGCTTCTGGATACATATTATTGCATTCCATCCACACTAAGAATTTAGACCGACTAACAGACATATGATTTAACACATTTTCAACCAGGTCATCTTCGTCTACACGATAAGTTATTGATGAGGATGATGGAACGAAAGCTTTTCAACTGCTATCGTACAAAACTGAATAACGAATGCCAAGATACGCCATACAGCCTCACAAGCGAACACATATCTGTATATTAAATTGACTTTAGAAACCTAAAAAATTAATTGTTGAGACTAAAGAATTTAACGTCATAGAAGAATGAAATATAGCTTCATTGTGGTTATTTGTTTCTATATTTACCATATCATATACGATTGTTTTCCTTTTCACTTCTTTTAACAAAATATTTACTAAAACTTTTAAAAGTTCAGTTTGTAATGAAAAACAACTTAAAAGAATAGTTAAGAAACTAAAATTTTAATTTGCAACTATAATGCTCTTTTATTTCGTTTTTGTTTTCTTTTTCGCTTTCACCAACTCCAACTCGTATGTAGTCAGGACCTTTGGTTATGTATTTGAAAAAATACTTAATAGAGCATTATTGGTCGCACCATTCGACATTGATGTAGGCTCGAAATTGAATCAATAGATCCCGATTGTATGTAATAATAGAGGAGTTATCACATTCAACTCCTTTCTTATTAATTGTTCTACCATCTTTCCGCCTCCAATATTTCGGGTAACCAGCTTCATCAATAGATGTTTCTGGATTAAAGGCCTTGGGGAAGAACTTTGAACATTTTCCAACCTACCATACACGGACTGTGCTGATTGTTTCTTTTGCATGGTCCATGTAACATAACCTCACCAAAAATCTCGTATAAAAGGGGATCTTCATCTTTATCAGGAATCTTAGCACTAATAAATTTTTCGATGTCCTCACCAAGAACTAAGAAACTAAGAAAAAGAACTATATTCACATGTGGGAGTCCTGTTTTCTGAAACTCTGTTGTGTATATTGCTGCGTTCAGGAGGCAATAAATCAGTGTGTTTTTAAGGAAGATAAGTGTTAAGAAAATTACCATGTGATTGAACTAGTGCATGTGTCAAGCTTTGCCTAAACATGATTCCACAAGAGGAAGAACAAACAAAAGGGGAAAAAACTGGAGGACGACCTATTTAAGCGTTCGGTGTTATGAAAAAATCTTCTTGAACGGGTTTCCCTAAGACAAGGCTTTTTCGTAATCTTCTTGTTTTACTTAGCAGGTTCTTCGTCACTCCAAAGTTTTGCTTCAAACTCCTCTGTTTCAGGACGTTTTCCTGCTTTGGTGTTGTACGTGACAGCTTCCGTGAAGACATCTTTGTTGATATTAGCAAATGAGATCCTCCAGTTCGGCCAGTCCATGATGGCTTCGGAAGTTGCTAGAAAAGGCCATCCAAGAATCACTGGATGTGTTGCGTCCTTTGTTTCAACAATGTAGAAGTCGACAGGAACAATGCAGTCTCCTATCTTTAAAGGAATGTCATAAGCTACTCCTTTAGGTGTTGCATTGGAATCATCAGCTAGACTTATATTTGTCCTAGTCCTGCGCAGATGCTTAATATCAAGTCTCAAAGCAATTACCTTGGACATCATGTTGAGACAAGCTCCAGAATCACAAAGCACATTGTTAAACATTTCACCTCTAATCGAATAAGAGATGAGAAACTGACCTTGACCTTCGATTTTGTGAAGTATTTGAACGGGTTTACCTCTTCTGGCATGATTGAACAAGTCTTCTATTTCAGGAATGGATTCCTTGCTCTCACCAAAGTAATGGCCGATCATGAAGTCTTTGTAAGATCTGGCGAAGGTGATTCCTTCAGGTAAGCTTTGAACTAGATCATTGAATTCATCAAGCTTTTCTTTGCTGATTTTGTTGGTGTAGTATCTGCATTCTTCAGGTCTTTAAAGGTGAATTGAGTAGATAGCTGCTTCTGGTGATGTTAGATATCGGGCTCACATAAAGTACTTGTGGATGTCCTCCTTAGACTCCTTACAGTATCTGAAAAAGACCTGCAAACAATGAAGCTTCCAGACATCATCGAAGCTTAGATGAGCAGGGAGTCCTTTGACGAAGTTGTTGAACTCTATGAGCTTCTCCCTACTGATGTTGCTAGTGATCCATTCAACTTCTAGTGTACTTCATCCTGATGAGTATCCTGCGTCTGGGTTCTCTACGAATAAGCCATATTCTTCATCTTCAGAGTATTGCTCTTCATACTCATCTTTACAAGACAAAGCCATGTTGCACGATAATGGCTCGTCTTCGTCTTCAGATTCCTGAGTGCTGATAGAGTAAATCAGTTGCTGAAAAAGGGGTTTAACTACTCCAGAAGGTGCATCAGACGAACAACTGCTTGTATGAGCCGGATGGGGTTGTCTTGGAATGTTTTGACGGCTGGCCATGACTGCAGGGACAAGACTGCAGAAAACCAACTGTGGGCCACGGGTAGACCAAGTACGACCGCGGGTGGACGCCTCTTGGCCACGATCACAGGGGATACGACCGCGGGAGAGTGTCTCCAAGGTGAGTTGCTGGAATTGCTTGCTTCTTTGCTTCCTGAATGATCTCTTGGGTCTTCTGGCTTAGTATGCTTCCTCTCTGGGCCTAGGTATTTAATGTGAGGTGCTAAACTTTGTGCTGCAAGTCCTTGCATGATCTCCTCAACTTTTTCTTCAACTTCATCAAGAGCAGAAACAACTTTATCTATGGTTGAGTCTTGCTCCTTGGTTTTGTCAATAACCTTGTATACCTTATCCGAACTTCAACCGTGAAGTCATAAGACTCGTTC